TAGCTTTTTCTGAATAAAACAGACCTGGCCACTGCCATTCGTGTCTTAGTATCATCCAGATTAGGGTACAATAACACACTTTTATGTGGAGCTGCCATTTGCAGAATTTTCATGAAGTACAATGGATTCAAAACACAGTGGTCACGATATAAACTGGGGCTCATCGTGGACAGCTTATAACAACTTTGATATCTGTAATTTCCTGGAACTGCAACCCAGACATTTATTGAAATATTAATTGCACAATTGTAGAAACTGCGTTATTGTTTTTAGGGACTGTATAATTTTCAAATCTCATTTATTTTATTGTACATTGCTTCTAGATGTGAAGTGGTTTATAAATATTGCAAATTGTAATTGTAAATTGTAATTGTATTGTATTGTAAATTGTATTGTAAATATTGTAAAATATTGAAACATTCAGAAAAATGTCTCTGGGTGCTGATTTTCTGCATTGAGCTGACGTATATTTAGGACACCTACCTTAAGAGTTTACCCCGGATCTCAGATTAACATCAGAGGCTTTGCTCTGACTCATCTGAGACTCAGCCTGCTTATGAACAAATGTAAGCTTAGTATTGTGATGAATTTCCCTTGACATGGTAGGGCAACTGATTTGGTTATTTATCATTATTGAATTTGTAATATGTGCCTATTTTACGGCTTTAAGTACAATTTTCCAATAGACCATACTCCTTTGGTTTGTTTAATTTGCTCTATTCAAAGATTTAGTTATTATATATTTTGCAGTTTGTTTTCAAATACAATGACTGCTTGATAATATACTGTAACTAAACTTTAGAAAAGTAAAAAGCTGTTTTGGGTGGGATATTGGGACAAATGTTGTATATAACCACTCCTGATCCCCCCCCCCCCGCTGTGGTCTTCTTTAGTTTCAGCTCTATTCTTTTACTGAGTTATCTTGTCAGCTGCCTTGATGGAAAATAAAAAAACATGTGCACTGCCACTGAGCTATGGATCTTCCTCTATTTGGAACATATTTAACTCTGTTCCTAAGCAAGAACCTGCGCGTGTTGCTTAAGACACAATACAGTTCTGGATAACCGACAGGATTTATGTTTTCAGAAACGGGGATCACCCATTGCTTCTTTATCACAGAACCCTAGACGTAACCCGATATTTGCAGCACCTAGCAGACAGCAATTTATTCTGCAATCTCCATCTTGGAAGAGACACAGACTTCATGGCTACAACATCTCCCTACGTTTTTGTACTGTTTTGTTTCATTTTAACCCCCCCCCCCTTCTGCTTTGCTTAAGAACTAGCCTGATAAAGAGTTCTGGAGAACTTGCTCTCTATTTTGTGAATCATTTGTTATGATTTTAACACTATTATCTAGAGGAGACAGGCATTTATTTGGAATCTCACCATGTTTAAGGGCACAAAGTTTGCTATCCAAAACCGAGACAAACTTCATTTGGTACTTGCAAAAATCTTTCCGTTTCTGGAACTTTAACAACAGTTAATAAAAATATAAAAGCTGCAGTTTAAGTAGCAATTGGGAACATCAGGCCTGGGTGGGGAGAACCACATTGCAGCTTCTCTACCTGGCTTTCAAAACTCTTCCCAGTCCATGCCCCCTATCCCAGGACCCTGCTTATAACAGCCCTGTTCTGCACTCTCCTCGAGTGCTTTTGCCAACTGAAATGTGTCCTTGAACTGTGATTCTGCCTCTTCCTTGACTGGAGGATCAAAAAAATATTATTATTAATATTTATTAAAATTCTATGCCGCCCGTCATCTCAGGTTTACAGGGCAGTTTACAGTATAAAATATACATAACAAAACAATGTGTTTATGCAAAAACCTTGGGGGGGGGGCGTTGTAGCTAAAAATACAGGTTACTGTAAGAGTCACACCTATTGCTCCGCTCACTTTTCTTTGTCTCTGATCCTGCCCACAGCTAGCAGGTGAGCCCATGAGGAAATGTGACCCTTAGGCTGAAAAGGGTTCCCCCAGCCTGAGAGAAAGCTTTAAGGGGGGGGGGTGTTTTCAAGCGGAAAGAGGTAAAAATGAGTTGACGATTACAAGTATATGAAGCAAATGTGTACAAAATGGAAGATTCCAGCATTAAAAATGTTGGGTCTGAAACAGCTAAAGTGTAAGAAGAAGCAAAGTTTAATCCCACTCTGCAAGGTTTCACTATCCAGTAAGCTTTATGTTTCACCTCCATAGCAAGCAAGACTATCATTAAACATGACAGAACTTGTTAAATAAACTCCCTTATGTTCTCGCTGTGAGATTTTTCTTGTGACTAGGCTTTCCGATCAGTAGGCGTCCATAAATCCACCTGCGCTGCAGCTTGCTGGGTCAAGGGCCCCTACTCAGTGTAACCTGAGAAACCCTCTCCTGCCTCTCACCTTGAGAGGGAAGAAGGGGGCCTTCGCACTGTGCAGTGCTTGGTGGGGAGAGTTAAGAGACATTCCCGCCTCCCCCGCGACAACACACACACACACACACACACACACACACACACACTACAGTCAAGAAGGGGTGTTTCTTTTAAATTACACTGAACAGAAGCATACTGTGCTTGCAAGATTAAAGCCCACTCCCAGTGTGATATGAGATGCCCCCTTCTTTTCCCAAGCTCTCTAGCAGATGCAGAAGGCAAAGGGGATGGAGAGAGTCAGTGGCAACTATGGAGTACGGCTGGGTAGTAAGTCAAGCCAACATTTTGTGGACTCTTCCCTTTCATGCTGTTTCCTTCGGGAGAAAAGTGCACTTAATATCCAGCAGACACCAGCTATATGATGCTTATTATTGTTCTAGCAGCTCACAGTCAAGAGTTACACTAAGTTCAGGCTAGAACAACTACCACTCTTTTCCTTTTGCTTGCAACAGCATCAAGATGACTTACGGGAGCAGTTTTATCAGGTTCTCCTTCATAAAAGCATGGGAGTTTGGTAGAAACTAAACACAAGCAGCTTCAAGGAGCAGGAGAATACGGAAAACCTCACCTCAGACCCCATAGCTTGCTTTGTTTTCCTTGTATTTTATTTCCACGGAAGCAGAGGTGGCTCACTGGGTGGGGCAGAGTTGCTGCACTAGCTTCCCTGTAGGCTGGATGCTGTTGCTTACTGGGAGGGAGGCAGGCATGGCACACCAAACTCTTTGCCACCTTGTCCTCCCCCCGCCCCTCTTGGTAAGCAACAGCGACCCACATGCTAGAAAGCCCAGCAGCTCTGCCCCACATGGTGAGCCACTTCTGCACAACTGTGCATTAATTTCTTGCTTTCGTTTACAAATTCTACCCTTCTGAAACTCCCAACAGAAGAATGGCGTGTTTCTTACGGAAATGCAGAGTTCAAACACCACTAGGTAAATGCTGACTACGTGTCTTTGGTGCAGCGGTGGGGATCCGCTGGCCTTCCAGATGTTATTGGGTGACAGCTACCATCATCTTTGACCACTGCCCACGCCGGCTGGGGCTGATGGGAACTGGAGTCCAACATATTGGAGGGCCCCCTGCTTTAGTGACCCTTTCTCCACGGCAGTCACCACAATGTAGCTCAGCACCAACCATCAGCAAAAATGAGCTGGGAGTGTTGCAGGCCAACACCATTCATCGTCTTTTGGACACACTGGAAACCAGGAGCAGCCACACTGTACTAAGGAAGCCACAGAACTAAAAGGGAATAATTAGCATCATTAAGCCATAATGGTTGGCAAGGACACCAGCGATGCAGTATGGTTATGTAGGTAACCACCATTTTATTAAACATTACAGCCAGCCACATTATCTTCTAGCCAATAAATATATATCAGTGCCGAATATCCATCATCAAGCAAAAGCCGATCTGCAGCATAATAGGATAGCAGCCTTGCATGCAGTGCTTGCCTGCTGTCTGAGGCACTGATACTGTTTCTGACCCTACTGTGAGGTCTCATTGGTAACTGAAACTCAGAAATGAAAGCAGATAATGCACACGGTGCGAGAACTCAACAATGCTTTGCTGGTACTCTATTCCAGCTGATGGGAGTTGTAGTCCAAAACATCTGGAAGGCACCAGGTTGGAGAAGGCTGGACTAGTCTATATCTGTCCATTGTATCTACTTTGGCCTCTGTGCAATTATGGAAGACAGACCCATCCAGCAACCCAAGGCGCCTCAGGTAGCAACCTCACATTGCCCTGCTTCTTCCCAGCAGAGCCAACAAGATGTGGCAACAGCAGAAAACTCAATATGGTTTTAAATGGGGATTCTAGAAATGCACCATTGGCAGTTCAACACTACCCTAACACTCATAATAGCTAAATGGAAGCTCCAGGTTTAGGTCCTGAAACAAGTTTTACTGTTATGATAGGTATGTTGATGCAATTCTTTATCAATATTGTGGTGGTGGTGGTGTTGTGCACCACCCTAGAATCAACCAGAATCTATAGGTAAGTTTAGCACTCTGGTCCTTGCTTGGGGGCTTCCCATAAACATCTGGCTAGCCATTTTGGAAACAAGCCACTTTGGAAACAAGACGGACCTTCAGCCCGAAAACTCTTCCGACGTCCACACATACACAGAATCACCCTCCATGTTCTCTAACACGGGACAAGAGCCACCCTCCGGGTGCGGACTCCCTAGCACACCTCGTTTCGAGAAAAAGGAGCCGACCCACCCTCTCCCCACGACGGTGGCGTGGAAACAGTGGCCTAGCGAGCCCGGGAGGCGCCCGCCCGCCCGCGCGGCAGCCACGCCTCGCTCAGCGCCCCGCACCGCGGCCAGGAAGAGGCGGCAGGGGCAGCAAGCCGAAGGCTCTCCCGCTCCCCACGACGACGGCTCTGCGCGCCTCGAGCGGCCGAGGAAAGGCAGCGGGCGGCCGCGGAGGGGGCAGTGCTCGGCCCGGCGGCTGCAATGGCGGGAGGCGGGGACAGCGCCCGGGCGGAGAAAGAAGCAGGAAAGAGCAGCGCTGCCTGTGGCCCGGGGAGGCCCTCCTCCCTCGCTCCCGCTCCCTCCGGCGGCGACTCCGCGCCCGCCCTCCTTACCGTGCGCCTCGCCGCCTCAGCCCCTTCTCCGGCCGCCGCCGCCGCCCTCGCAACTCGGGACTCCGCCGTCTCTATGGGCGACCGGAGCTAGCCGACCTCTCACCCGCTGCTCCTCCTCCTCCTGCTGCCTCCGCTGCTGGCTCCGCCTGGCCCCGGGCGGGGAAGGGACGAGGCTCCTTCCTGGGCCAGGACTGCGCGCTGCTCTCGTCCGCCCAGCAGCGCCTCTGCCAGCGGGGAGCGGATCCGGGGGCGGGAAGAAGCGCCCTCTCCTTCCTTCCTTCCTCCCTTGCTCGGCTCCTCGGAGGCAGCAGGAAGCCTCTCTCCCGGGCAGGGTCCGCGGCGCCTCCGTCCCAGGCGGGGTTGGGGAGCGGCGGGAGCCCTGAGTTACCCCGCGGCCCTAAAGCACCTCTGCAGAGTTTCGTTTTAAGGCAGGAACAGGATTGAGCCCGTGGCCACCGCCAAGGGCGGGCGGGAAGTGGCTGCTGGTCGTTTTCCCTCCCTAAGAATTGTAGACTTGGAAGGGTCATCTAGTCCAACCCTCTGCAGCGCGGGAATCTCAACTAAAGCATCCATGGCAGATGACAACAACAAGACTTTTATCATTTGTATGCTGCCCCTCAGACTGGGTTGCCGAAGCCTCTCTGGCCGGCTCCCAACAAAATGTTGAAAACACAATAAAACATCATTAAATACTCCCCTAAACAGGGGCTGCCATCCAACCTCTGCTTTAAAGCCCTTCGAGTCTGAGGGAGCCCATCCCACTGTCAAAAAGTTAGTTGGAATCTCCTTTCTTGTAACTTGAAGCCACTTGGTTTGGGTCCTACACTCAGGAGCAGAAGAAACCAAGCATGCTTCCATCTTCCATGTGATAGATATTTGAAGATGTGATATGATACCTTCTCTCAAGCAGGCTTCTCCTTTCAAGGCGAAAGGCAGGCCTCTCCTGCGTTCATTCTCAAATTTGGGGTAAAACTAGGAGGCGATGTTTGTGTAAGAAGCTGTGTGAGCTCCATTCTGGTATTGAAAAGAAATTATTGGGCTGAGCATGTGCTGGATTTCAGATGCGTAAAATTGCCTTGAGACGATTGTGTATAAGGCAATTAATGAATTAACAATTATAAAAAATAAAATAATAACGTTTTGCACCTGTTGGTGGACTTCAGGGTTCTAAAAACACAGACACACACAGTAGATCCCACCAGCCTGAAGTCTGCCCACTCGTGGTAGGCCTGCATGTTGACTGTATCCAGTTCTTAGACATACACCAGAAAACTCCTAATAGGTTGGACCAAAGATCTCTTTAGGCTATCTAACTAGATGCCCCCAGGAACCCCACATGCAAAGCATGAGAGCAACAACCTTCCCTATCTATTCATTCCACCAAACACCCCACTGCATTTGATTGTTCCATTTACCCATCATAGCTAATAGTTGGAAGGAAGACTTACCAGGAAATTGGGCTTCTTTTAATATTGTTGTGATTTGCTTGAAAAAAGTCCAACTGGCTTAACATGGTTCTGTAGTTCTGGCTATTGACATATATTAAAATCCATGCCCGGCCATAACTCAATGACCTTGAACAAACTGCTGTATTTATTTTTATTACATGTACTTGTTAAATTTATACTGTCTCATTTAGTCCAAAAAGAGTCTCCCCCATTTCCCTGTCAGCCCAATTCCACAACTGTATATAATAAATAAAAATGACCTCATGTGGAAGTATGAACTAAACACAGTGAAGAGTCGAAAATTATAATCAACACAGAGGAAAGGAGCTGACATGAAGCTTCAAAATCTTAACATAACTGAACCGAGACATATTCATTAGGCTAGATCATGTTGAAGTCTTAATTATGTATTTGAACGTCTTCAAGAACAAAGCAGAAAACATAATCTGCTGCTGATTATATTATATTATTGAAAATGATTTGCAATGATTTTGCTTTAAAAACAAACAAGCAGGTATTTATAGCCTATGTTCTTCTCAGAACACTTACTAGTTGTGAACTATAGCTGAGTAGTATATTAAGAGTTCAGGGTCGTGTAGATTCAAAATACTGTAAAACCTCTCTCTTAAATGTGAGTCAAAATGGTCGAAGATTATAATAATGGAACAGTTCCTCAGAACATGTCTCATGTTTGTCTCCATTTGTTTCCATCCAGTCATGCTGACATACTAAAGAGGAAAGGTGAAATGCTTTTCTCAATTGATATTATTTATTTGATCTATTTATATCCCACCTTTCTCCCAGGTTGGAATTCAAGGTGACTTACAACGTTTTAAAAGCATTGGTATAAAATGCAGAGTAGTAAAAACAAGCTAGTTCAAAACAATAGTTGAAATACAAGAGAATACATTTTGAAGCAGCATTAAAGTACTGATTGCCCTGATAGCAGCTCAATAAAGATTGTCTGCATCTATTGCAATATAGGAAGCTGTGGAAAGAGGACAAAAGGGTGCCAATCTAACCTCTCTTGGAGGCAGTTCCACCATGTGGGAGCAGCCACAGAAAAAGCCCTCTCGTTACATCACCAACTGGGCCTCTGGCGGTAATGGGATGGAAGAAAGGTGTTCACCCAAGGATCTTTAGCACCTGGGCAAGGTTTGTAAAGGGAGATAAATTGCTCGGGTTACCTGGCCCCAAGCCATATAGGGCTGTATATGTCATAACCAGTGCTTTGAATTGTGTCAGGAAATAGACCTGTTGTAGGCAGTGTAGTTTTAACTGGAGGAACGTGCTCCCTGTAACCTGCCCCGGTCAGCCGTCCGGACCAGCTGAAGCTTCTGAACACTTTTCAAAGGCAGCCAAGAAAAGTGCATTATGTTAGTCCCACTGGGATGTCACTCAGGCATGTGCCACCATGGCCAAATCTGACATTTCAAGCAACAGGCCAGCAAAGACAAAAGAGTATATGATGAATCCTAAGATGGTAATATTTGTACAGAACAACTATGCTAGTGGAAGGCACATCTAATCTAATCTAAACTGAGAAATAATGTCAATGTTCACCTTCATAATATATATATATTTTAAGGGTAGCCTTGTTAGTGTGGTTTTTTTAAGTGCTTAATTTAAACTTCTGGAAGGGATTGTTCAAATGGTGCAAATATTCTCTCAGTTGATTACAGATGGTACTACTGGAGATCCATCTCAACCCAAAATTCTCCCATTGTTCTGTTGCATCCATGATATCTATTTGCCATGTGTTGCTTTAAGTGGTTAATCTACACATAAAGGCATTTAAATCAGAGCATTAAATTTTAGATCCCTCAGACAATGCACATACTTGTGTAAACCAATAAAATATTTAATAATTTTATATTTTTAAAAATAAAATAAACGTTTTTGATGTGTTTAAACTACTATAATTTAAACATTCTCAAAGGGTTGCAGTCAACTAACTTTTACTCAGAGTAGTCCCACTGAAATGAATGGACCTAAGTTAGTCGCGGTCGTTAATTTCAATAGGTGTACCGTGAGTGCAAGTTGAATGCAACCCAAAGGCTCGCTCTTATTTATTCCTAGGTGGTACTTTGTGCAAATAATCACATTTGGCCAGGAGATGGCACTATCTTGTTTGAAAAGTTACCATTAGGCCCACTAGTGGACTATCCTGAAAAGGCAAGAATGTAGGCACTACCTTTTTATTAATGTGTGGGCAGATGAGCCCTAACCATGTAGGACTTTCTTGGAAGGTGGTGCTGGACTCTGTGGTTTGGTCCATTGACCTTCAGGGTCTCTCACGGTTTCATGCTTCTCCCATGCTATTTAGCATCTACAGGAAACAGCTGGAAAAGGTCATCCAGAGTTGGGAGTTGGGTGGCATCAGGGTGAGCCCACACATGAGGCCTGATGAGGTGAACGCATCTGGCCGCAGGATCCACAGGGGTAGCAGACCTCAAAGTCAATCTTTATTCCCCCCCTTATTCCCAGTGTAGATCTTCGCTTCCTCCTGGTTTCTGATGTAGATCCTTGTTCACCATTTCCTCCATGGTGGGTGGGGGGCACAATTTTGTGGTTATCCAAGGCTAGCCCTGGGTACCACCGATATAAAATGATCCTGGAACTACGCATGCCGTATATAACAAGTCAACAATTCCTGTGCCACCCTGCAAGTGAATCCGAATGTTGCACTCAAAATAGACTACCCAAAATTACGAAGATTGCAGATAAGTATATTATTTGCATAAATTATTCTAATGGGGGAAATGTTTTCGCATAATGGATTTTTTAAAAGTATGAGTCATAGAAGGCAATAAATGCATGTGCAAGGACAGCAAATATCAGGGACAAGATTTAGGAGCTAAAGGTGCAATGCTCTACAAGTATAGGGTTGCCTATATGTGTCAGAAGTAATTCCCATTTTGTACCATAGGTCTTGGATACAGGATTGCAGCCTGAAGGAATGAGAAATGTGGGGGGAACATGGTCTCCCATTTCCTTACCACTGTCCATTCCAAATGCTTCTTTAAGTTAGTGAGTTTTTAGCCAAGCATTGCCTTCATATATTCCATCTGTTTTCAGCAATCATGAGGACTAGACACTTTAAAGAAAAAACGGGGGGGAAACTGGAATTCACAACTGGCTATGCTGTAAGACTTAGAATTCTGTTTTACATGTTTAGTAATAATAGAAGTACGTAGTAGAAGATTATCAGAACTCCAGAAATACTTTTGAAACATTTGCTAGATGTCACTCAAACAGAATGGTAATCTAGAAAACGTTCTTCAGCTAAAGTACATAAACAGTTGTTTTTATTCTTATAGCAAAGATGAAAGCACTACAGATTCTGCATTTCACTTTTGTCATCCCCAATAAAGTTTCATGGCAGTTTTTTTTTTTACAAAGATACAGTAATTGGATACTGACTGTGAAATGGAAGTGGAATGCATGTTCTTCTTAAACATTAGTGTGGATTATTTGTTTTAGAGATAAAATACTTTCCCTAAACTCTTTAAATGGATATCCACTCTTACAGATAGCCACTGGTTATTTTCCCAACACCATGACTATACATAGGATCCAGACAGATCCCATTGGTGGGTTTGGGAGTGCCATTTTTCCTCCTTACAGTGGCAGCCCCTCAGTGCCCCATAGAAGACTTCCCTAGAGAATCTGCTACCTTGGGTGTGGCATTTGGGAAATAGAAACCGTTGCTTAAAGAAAGAGACTTGAAAAGCCTCTGTGTGCACACACAGAATCACATGCAGCACTTGGATGTCAGCCCGAACCCACAAGCCTAGACAACGAAATCCTGCTTAATGCAATGGGATCTAAACACTGTACATGTCTTGAATACAAATAAGCTTATCTGTGACATTAAAATAAATAAATTGATTGGATATTTTTGTACGTGTGCATGTGCAATTAAACATCTCATGCAAAGGCCGCATGA